GGTTTTCCAAACCCATGGCAGCAATACACTGTAGCCTCAAGGTGAAAATGCTCAGCCCCTGTGTTTACTGCTTATTTCACTCATTATCTGTGTTGCAGCATATTAAAGAAAAAAACACAGTATGGACAGGTAAACATGCGTCGTTTTCATTTAAAGCTTGTGAGGTTTTCTTAACATTCCCTGGAAAACGTTTTCACTGAGAAAGTGAATGAGATTGTAAAATTTTTATCTGACAGTTTAATTGAATAAATGTTAACGGACCTTTTTCACAACTTGTCATAACAGGACCAGCGCTGCTTTTTTTTTTTTTTTCTTAAAAATGACATTAAACATTTACGTACAAAACCAAAGATATGATTTCTGGCTATAAAGGCTCAGATTTATATGAATCTTTGCAAGACTCTGGAATCTTTTTTCTCTCTTACATCCACAGCTGCTGGTATTGTTTCACCACTTCTCTCAAAACAAAGCGATACCATTTCCAAGAGCCAATGAATTTGTCTGTGTAATAGACATAGTCACATTGACCTACTGGTAATCCTACCAGTACATGCAATCCTATAAAACAAAGAACAGAGTGACCTAAATATGTCTTCAGATATAAAAGAAGAATTGGCCTTCAAGGTGATACTGTTTATTAGACCAGAGGCTGAGCCCCTTTGCTTGAGCTCCCAGTGTGCTGTTAAATTACTCACTATAAAATCTGGCACTCTTTGTAAACAAAGTTTAATTGAATGCTATGCAGTGGATGTAAAAAAACACCAACAACACAAACAAACAGCCTTTAGTCAGCAAGCGGTTAAGTCAGAGCAGATACTGGCATGAATGTGAGACTAAAGCTTGGTCGAAGGCTTTATGGGTGCAATGCAGGAATCACTGCGTTTAAAACCTGCTGGGGGATATAAGGAAACAAAATGTATGAGGAGCTTTGTAAGCCCCCAGAATCAGGTTAGAATAATGGCTCTGTGGAACACAAAAGGTCACGGCGGTTGAGAACTTATCCCAGTTGTCACCGATGAGAACAGGAGGAAGGGATATGAACGATGTTTATGACCATGATTGCTGACTTCTCCCTTTGATTAGTTTGTCTTTTTGAACTGGTGATCCCACGGCCAGCAGAAGTTGCATATTAAGCACGTAAGCCATGTTTATTCTCATTCTCCTGGCATACGAACGACTCAAAATAATGTAAAAAAAACCTCAGAGAAAAAGACCTCAATTCTCCTTCCCATTCACCGGAGCTGTTACGTGGTTCCTGTTAGGTTACTGAATACAAACATCAGTCTGGCAATTACAATCCTGACAATCTAGGATATTTTGAGTTTTGAAAGAAACATTACGCAACCACTAAAGCTCAAAGGACCGTGTTTTTTTTCTTTGCCTTTATTGTATTGTTGGCATCATAGAATAATTGCGAAAATCAAGAAATCATATTAAGCGCAGACAATTTGTATTGTACCAATAACAAGCTGAGACTAACCAACAGGGATCTGAGAGACAGACAGAAGGAGGCTGACAAATGCTGCTTAAGCCTAATATCAGCCCATTTACAGTGTTACAAACAGTGATTTTGCCACCCAAACTTACCACCTTTAACGCCTCAATGAATAATCACATATCAGTACAAATCAATACAAAGGCAGCAAAAATGAAAAGAACAAAAAAGCAACCAAAGAGGAAACAGACGAATTTTATATCAAAGCGTGTCTTTTGCTTCATTTACTAATGCACCCACTAATGATAAATGTTTTTCAATGGTAATTTAATATATATTAATTTTGACATTAATTAAGAAAAATGGAAATCCACTTGAACAAAAAGTAGCTTTCCGTCGTGAATGTAAAATGGGTTCTCTGATGTATATTAAGTCTTTTGAGTAACACTTTCTGCACTCTCATGCGGTGAATGGTTCCATCTTTTTTTTTATGTTGAAAGAAGTGTATGCCTCAGTGTTGATGAGCATTTGGAAGAAAAACCCAGACTGGATCAATACAAATAGCTTTAAGGTAGAAGTCTGCTGCTGTATATACTCTGAGATGCATTTTAGTCGCCCAGCTCGTCTGCGAGGGTCACTCCCTGCAACTATAATTTAACTCTGGACCGTTAAGCTGCATTCATTGTTTCACCATTAAACCAGCATTCTGAGAGCATCAGCAACATGAACACTCCAATTATACACTATACGGTAAAAATAAGAACCATCTTGTGCTGCTGTCACTCTGCAGTATTTCAAAACTAACATTGTCATCGCTAATTGATGTGTTTTGACTGATGTAAATGAATAGATTCTTTTCAAAATAATGAGTGAATAATTAGTCATAATTAAGAATGCTAACAAGAGCAGATTTATTAACTGATTTCTCCATACCGGCTTCGTCAGTGTTCACTGCATGCCAGGCTTTATTTTAATGATGCTGTCTGTCCCAATCAGCGTCAAGCCATTTCTGGAGAGAGAGAGAGAGAGAGAGAAAAAAAAAAAGTCAATTATGAACCTCTCAACGTGCCATGCTCTGTTGATGCTATTTCTAACTTACACACAGCTCTGCTTTCAGTGTCATAATAAAGCAGTTATTCAGAGGGGACAGCCTTTTTATTTATCTATCCATCTATCTATCTATACAAATAGATGGGTAGATCTACACACACACACCACGAACCATGAGCCAACTTCGCCAGTCGTCCTGAAGCATCTACTGAAGGTGAACAAATAGTAAGGGAGGCAACTGCCAAGCACAGAGTAGCAATGAGCCTGACATCTGTGCCCATTAAGTTCAAGTCCAAGCTTTTTGTCATTCCAGCTATGAAATAATTAGTTGAATAGTAGCGGCCTACATAGAGAAGAAGGATTTAGTACAATCTTTCACATGTGAAACTGACAGCCATGTCAGCGTGAGGAAATAATACCCCCAGAAGGCATAATTTGTTAAGGCAAGAATTTTTTTTTTTTCAAATCAAGTCAGAAGGTCCTGCATTTGGTAGGGGGTGGGAATTTTAAACTATAAAAGTGGCCAAATAAAATGAAAAGGCAGCCAGTGTACAGGGTGAACTATCTCGTATCAATTATACTTGATATTTGAAAAAATAAAAAATAAAATAAGAAGTGTTAAGCTCAAATGACTGGCTCATTTCAGCGTGTATTTGACTATGGAAGATTTGGCATCATTTCTACTGTCTATTCTCTGTTAAATGTGTTCTCAAAATCCATTCTGAACATGTTTTATTAATAAAAAATGCTCCGTTTTTTTTTTTCTCCCCCTCCACTACATCAGAAGAGCCATTTCCGTGTTACTACACAGAACACAAAAAATGCATCACAATCAAAAATGATGACAGTAAAAACGTTGTAGCTGTGTTTGTACAAGAGCAGTAAAACTCACGATAATCAGAGGTGTGACTGGCCACATATCTTCTTCCTTTTTTTCAGTTTTTTTTTTTTTTGTCGTCTCTTTTGTTCTATATCCATAAATAACTAGAGACCACCTAGTGTTTGAAGTCAGATACATGCAAAAATGTTAATAAGCGGTAAGACATACAGTTGTACTTCCGGATGTATTCTCCCTCAGTAGCTAATTAAAAGACATCTTTTTGATCTTGTAATAGCCCTGCTGCCAGGGTAAACAAAGCAAGTGACAATGACACAATACTGGATTTTAGCATTTCAAGAGAAGATAAAACTTTAATACGGGTCTATTTTTAACTGCTTTCTTTAGCGACATCTTTAGGTATAATATTTCTTTAAACTCTTCTTGGTATAATTAAAAACAGCTCATCCCACGTTCTGAAAACTCTCGAGCTATTGTTTGCTATGAATCCACTGTTCTTGAATTCCTATTCAGTGATAACTCTTTGTCTGCCTTGACTGACAGACAAGAGACCTTGAAATCAAAAGTAGGCGATATGAAATACAATGGCATTGAAAAATCAAAGCTAGAAACAAACAAATAAAGGAGAAAAAAAAATACACATAATGAAATAAATATGACCCGCAATAAGCTCCGTGACTGTGAAAATAAGCAGGATGAAAGGACATTTACTAATACTCAGCTGAGTTTCTTAAAAATATTGAATCCTGTCAGATTTGATTCCATATATTGTTGTCACTCTTTATTTATGTGACCGTGTGTGATGTCTGACTGAGTTGAATTGAATGCTTTGGATCTCCATCATTATGGTGCCACATCTCTTCACATCACTGTGAAGAATATTTCAGAAATATGTAGATTAAATTGGATTTATGACAGGACATTTCGAAGGAATATGATTTGAAAGTACTCCTACCTTGTTTGTGTTTGTCACCATCATCTCAGTCGTTGTAGTAGTCGTGGAGAAAGAAACGCGTAAAACTACAAAGGAGAAGAAAAGAAAAAAACTTTTCCCAGCTTGTTGCGACCGGGTTCAGGTGAAGGAACGAGAAAACAGTATCCAACCATCGCGAGATTTGGAGTCTGAACGAGCGTTTCATTGCTGCAGCGGTGACTGGTCGCCATAGAAACACATCCAGCGTTAGCTAAAACTGCTGTCCTGCTTGACACATTGTAAGCTAATGCACGTTATTCATATTTATTTTTTTTAAAAGTACAATTAATATTTTAAAGTATTCTCACCTTGTTTGTGTTTGTCACCATCGTCTTGGTTGTTGTGGAGAAAGAAACGCGTAAAGAATACAAAGTAGAAAAAAAGAGAAAACTTTCCCCAGGTGCTTGCTACCGGGTTAGCTTCAGGTGAAGGCACGGGAAAACAGAACCCAACCACTCGCGAGATTTGGAGTTGAGAGTTTGCTACAGGTTCCGGCAGCGGTGACTGGTTGCCATAGAAACACATCCAGCGTTAGCTAAAACTGCTGTCCTGCGGCTACAGTTTACACCTTTAGCTTTCTGTATTTTATTAGATAATTGTTGTTGAGTGTATCGCTTGAAACGCTGTAACCTAATTCACGTTATTAATATTTACACTTTAGTGGACAGACACTTTAAATTGTTGTTTTCTGCCGTTGACGTGAAATGTTCAGGAATAATTACCAGGTGAGTTCATGTTAACAAGACTAATTTGGGCTCTTTGTTCATTAATAGTGCTGCTCTTTGTGAATAACACGGCTTCTTTTGGCTGACACAAGCTTCAGCCAGATGTAACATTAACTAACAGTGAGGACTAATTCCGCTTTTTTCTTTTTTTTTGCAGGGCGGAGCTGTGGTGGAGATCTTCAGCGGACAGGGAAAAGACCCCGTAGCTAAATGGAAACTTTGCGGAGGGCCGTCAGCCATACATAAAGTGAGTTGCTAGTTCAACTTAGCTCACACAATCAAATTTAATTAGCCTACATGTCATCTAAGTCAAGCTAGCACCTACAGGCGCCCGGATGTAGCCCACAGCAACATGCAATCTAATGCAGTCCATCGCAACGCGTAACGACATCATTCAGTTTCTAGCGTCTGATTAATGCAGAGTCTGACCCCTCCAATGAAGCTTCGGAGCTGAGCGTCAAGCTGCAAAGCAAACACGTACAAGTGGGTCATATCAGCGCTGAGTTTTTTGAATGCCATTATTAAAACTGTGCGAGAGCTAAGCTGTATAAACTCAGCATCAGTTGTGTTTTGTGAGAGAGAGGTGACAAGAAACCTATTATTGCAGATGCCAGGCAACACTGACAACTATACACTGTATACAACTTGAGCTGTTTTTGAGTTTCCTATCTCTTAGAGCAGTTACACAACAGATACACAATGCTGGTTGTGTTCAGCAAGGACTTAAACTTAGCAAGGCCTCTTCTGAATTATTATCTCCCTTAGGAGTATAATAAAGAAGTCAAAGGATTTGTTTACTGTCTAGAGGGAAGCAGCCAGACAGTCAAGATGCAAATACCAGAGAATGGAAAAATGTCTCGTAAGTCACTGCCATACTTTTATACATATATTTGTAACTTTTATTTAGTTTTACTTATTTTCCTACATTAATAACACTTCACTCTTTGCCTTTTTTTCACAGTTGGGCTTCTCCAAAGATTTTTGGTGCTTCAAGTGAATATTCCTCAGTGCAGTGATTTTTCTGCCGAGCTTGTGTAAGTACAGCAGTCAAGGTTTTTTTTTTTCTCTTTTATATAATTTATAAATGGTATCTCACCGCGTTCAACATTTTGCAGCAGTGTGCACTGTTTTAGATATCAATAGCTCTTTGTGGCTGCTAAAATAGAGAGAGATATCTTTAAAAAAAAATAAAAATTTTTACAGACTAATTACTCCTAATATACAACTAAAAGATAATGCTTTTTGTAATGTGCATTATAAGACCGAATTGTCTGTAAAAAAAAAAATTAGTACAAGACAGCTTGTTTACATCTTGTATGAAAACCCCTGTAGCCACCTGCAAGATTATGTGCAGCATTTTAGCAATGCCTGTTATGTAACCGCCTAAATAGCCATTTATTGTTAAGACATTGTTAAACAATTTGCTGCAAAGAGGGCTTTTATCCTGTCAGCCACTGTAAATTCTGAGTAAGGCACCTTATTAAAATGTAGAATAATATGTGAATGTCAAGTGCCGGCCGTTCTTTTCCACATTTTGCAGGTTGTGGCTTTGATTGTATAATACAGTCCAGTGTGCGTATATTGATTTGCATTTACTCACTGACAGAGGAATGTCACTCTGGGGTTTCCTTACAACACAGTTTATGTCAGTCTCTATGCGGTGTCTCTGTGGAGTCTTTACTGTGCTTAAAAGTCTTTATGTGTGTATTAATGTCCTATCAATATAAGTCCTGGGAACTATATATTTAAAACATTAGGGAGATGTAGTTAAAATAACTCCTATCACGTTACTTATCGACTTTTTCAGTGGCATGCTACATTATTTTCAGAATCAGGGGAAACATTGCTGCCATTGTTCTTCCTGTTTCATTAGAGTGTGTCATCACAGCTGTTTTTTTTTACTGCACAGAATTAAAGTGAAAAACACCTTTCAGGAGCTTTCCTTAGAGACCAGTAAAGCCTGTGGTTGTCTCTGGTCACGACTTCTTATTGACACCACTTATGCTGGTGATAATTTATGTTCCATTGTGTCGTCTCTTATTCACAGGATCACTGATTCAGAGCACCTAAAAAGAAGGCTTCACATGTCGACAGTGCATAAAGAGTTATCTGCCACCCCTTTACATGCAAAGATACCTTTTGTGGGATTGAAACGGAATGTTGTGAGTATTTAATTCAGCCTTGGCATACTACTGTTGTATTTTCAAATGTGCTCTCAGCTATGTCCTTTTTTGTCTTTGTTCTTTATATTTGATTGTGGATGTTGAGCTGTGTGGCAGTAAGATTCTGTTAAGTACAAAATCGCATCTTGTCTGTTGTCTCAGTGGTCTACTTTATGCATCGACCTCGTATCATTGACCGGCGAGCTGTTCAAGGAATTTCTGAGGCTCGATGGCATCAGTTTGTTCGCCACCTGTAAAGTCAGGAGAATCTTCACTATGAAAACAGAGCCTACAGGAACATCAGATGATGGTAATGCAACTGTTTATTGGTTGCAAATAGTGGCATTTTATCATCTTACCCTAAAGCCCACTCCAAAGGTGTTTAATAAAGAGATACAATAACTAAGTCCTTTCCACTGAAGCGAGTCAGTGGTCTTCACTTTAAGCAGATTTGTTCTTGTGAGTTTATGTGAAATTGTGTGTATGTGAGTGGAGAGATAGAGAGACAAACAGTTGGCTGTTTTCTGTTATGGCTGGCTGCGAACTCAGTGGTAGATTTTGTTCAAGGCTGATATGGCTCAGCAGTGATAACAGCTGCACAAGCCTGGCTGCCCAGTGTGCACCTCCTCTACCTACTAATAAAGACAGCCCTGTCAGTGTACATTTTGCGGTTGATTAAAATGTTACTTCTGTGATGTGATGTTATGTCACGGTAATTTATTTTGGCTTAGTCTATGGTTGGGATTAATCTAAGATTTTCTTTTTTTTTTTTTTTAAATCCAGACATGTTTCTCGGTGGAGCTGGTCTCATGGACTTGATCCCTCGCAGTTGCCAGTACCCACCAGATGTGAAGCAAATCACTCAGGTGTTGAACATGGAGAGTTTGCGAAAGGCAGATATGAGGACTGGCCTTTTTAGCTCTGACTGCGGTAGGTAAGATAAAGCAGAACACAGAAATCTGAATTTATACACAAAAAAAGTGTAAAGTAAGACTAAGAATTACTGTATAAACTTATATTAACAGCCAAAGGTGGAACTCTATCCTTGTACTTTTGTGTGCTTTTCATATGGACCTGTTTTCCATGATTTGGACCGGGCATCTTCATTAGGTGACATTAGACAGTAGTCTTTCTAGTGACACTTTGCTGAATGCTTTTTAATGCTTCAGCATAGCACTGCCCCTATGCACAAAGCCAGGTTTGTAAAGAAAGTGAGTTTCTGAGTTTGGTATGTAAGAGCCTAATTCCCTTGCACAAAACTCGAGTTCAACCCCATCGATCACTTTTAGGATGAATTGGAGTGTAGAATGAAAGATAGGCTTTAAATCAGCATCGCTGCAAGACCTCACCAGTGCGCTTGTGTATGGAATATGAGCTGTATGCAGCCAGATTTAAAAATCTGTGGCCCTCCCAGAAGAGAGGGGGCTGATATATCAGCAAAGCAATCATGTTGACATGTTAAAGAATCACAGTTTAATGTAATGTCCACATGGTACACACACTTTACTCAGCTGCCTACATACTTTTGGTCATTTAGTGTATGTCGTCTTTCAAGCATCGTAGCAGTTTCACAGTGTTTTGTTCTGAAAGTAACTTATGACTGTGAGTCTATGCATTTAGAGTACAAGATATCAGCTGCAGTCAACCCAAGAAACAACTCATTTACATAGAAAGATAGAAAATGGTGCAGAAATGGTTGCATGTAGAGAAGCTGTTTTCTGCGAAGACACTGTGATGATAATCACTTTGTTTTCCTCATATGAATTTTCTGTGATCTTCATTTTTGTGTTCATTTGCACCTCACCTGTACTCAAGGAGCTGCAATTATCTCCTCATATAAAAAGACATGCACCAGTAATCCAGTTCTGCAGCCTTTGTGGCCTTTTTTATCAGTGCTTATTTATTTGTTCTGACAGCTGTCTAAGCTGTGTTGTGTCAGCCAGCAATGCCCATAGAAGAGGGCAGTAACCACACACGAGAAATATATTTTCATAATTAGCATCTGCATTATTAGCATAACATTCCTAATCATAATTAAAACGATTGCTATTAAAGTAGGCATCTAATCTAACTGTGACGGAGTTGCATGGTGAATGTTGTTGCTTCAGTGCCCAATCTGTCAGAAACTGTTAAAAGTAAGCTACGGCAGTTTTTATCATGCAGAAACAAACAAGCCCTGATTATTTCAGCCGCTCGCCAAAGACGCTGTGTTGTTCTCAAGGTCAATACATTTTCAAAGATCAAAATCTCTCCTCAAAATACTTTCAGCTTATCAGCGTACATCTTATTTTTTCCCCCGTATTGTTATGTCATTCTTTCCTGGCTTCTGCACACTGAAATTTGAGTAAATTTCAGTGTAGTCAATCCGCGCTATCACAGAAGTGTGACTTCCTCCTTTTTTCTCTCAGTACATCCAACTAAGCTCTGTCTGTATCACCTTGTCGATCATGTGTGTTTTGTGGAGTGGAGGTGTTTGCTCTCTGCTCTGATGAGGATCAGACAGAAAGTGTGTTTTGCTGTTAGCATCAGCAGAGGTGGTCCTGATGAGCCCTGGCACAGATACAGCAGGGTCAGGTCGTCGCCATATCACAGCTCCCACTGCAGCCCATTATTTTCACATGATGAAATGGAACAGATTGTTAGATTAAAGGAAAACATCCACTATCAGCTCAGCAATAGCGTCAAATGTGCTTTCAGTCATTAATTTTCTTTGTGTGTGAACTGTTCGCTTCAGCTTCAAGTATGTAAAACATTATTACTGGTTGTAGTTTATAGTCATTTGTGATTTGTTGTGTTTGCAGGGTAGTGTAACACACATTTCAAAAACATACTCCAGGATATAATCTATAAAGATGAGCATGTTTTGTTTTTTTAGATTTCTTTTAAAAAACAGATTTTCATGCACACAAAAAAGGAACTTTAAAAGGGCTTTGTGGACTAGAAAGAATGCAGATTCTTTCTGACCTTAGAAACACTGCTGTCTCCCCTCTACAGTGAACTGGTGTCATGTATTAGCTTTAGATTTAAGAGAATTTCTAAAGAAACAAATCCATAAGGATCAATGAGTAATGGGAATTTCTTTCTTTCTGCAGTTCCTGATCACTGTGCCACTGCCAGATCAACTAGTTATCGGAGAACCAGGCCCCAGGCTGTTTTACACACAGCCTCGGGCTCCAGAGCTTCAGGACCACCTCCCCAAACTGGAAGAAAAAGCAACGCAAGCGCAGACACAATGGAGAGCAGTGTGCTCTTTATTCACAATACGGTAATCTAAAGAATCCCATAAGAACATAAATCCCTCTGAATGATGTGTACAAGTCTGCCATAAGTTACAGGGAATATAGAACAGAATGTGTTATCTCTGAACTTGTGTATTTTTTTTCCCTTTGGTTGTGTTCCACAGGGATCCAGCAGAAATAACCCACAGGTTACTACGGATACTCTGAGCATTACCAACCTGAGTGAGAATTTATCGCATGGGGAACCTTCCCACATTCTTTATGAGGGTAAATTTTTTATAGAACACAGTCCAACTTCTTCTCGTCTGATTGCTTTCTACGCCTACACATGCCCTGCTCATCCTGCTATTTAGTATTTCTCCTCTCATTCTTCATTTGTTTTTTTGTCTTTGTACACCGGTTTAAGCTGAAATTATGCTTCGCTTGGCTGTATATATGCTGACATGCAGCATATAGTATTGCACAGACTCGGGGTGTTTGTCTGCTCAGATGCAGTGTCACGATGGAGAACCACGGGATAAAGAAAATGATTAAGAACTCATGAAACGGAAATCAATAAACCACTACATCCATGAAAGAAAGATTACTTTTTTGGCATTTTGCCTTGATTGGATAGTTGACAGTGAAGAAGTAGACAGGAAACAAATGGTGAGAGAGGGAGGTATGACATGCAACACACCCCCTGGCTGTAATCAAACCGGGGGTGCTGCAGTTCTACGGCGTGTGCTGCACCTATTCAGGCACTCCCAGCTGAGTTTTTTGCACAGAGCCTGAATACCACTTTTTATTTTATTTTTTCACCTTTACAGACAAAACAAAATAAAGAGTATTTATGTGTGAAGTTGTTTAACCTTGCTTTTGTTGAAATGCAGTAAAAATGTTCGAACTGATCTGGTGACAAAAGCAGCCATGTTATTTACAATGGTTAAACAGTACTGTGGAAAATGTGCTTTTACAGGTTCTTTACTGTATGCCACCATGCTGATATAATTACAATGCAGACTAAAATAAAAAGACTAACTGTAGTGGAGAATGAGCAGCTGGAAGACTTGCCAGTGAGTCTAGTTGGCTTTGACTCGTGAATATGACTTAGAATCTTCCTCGATGAAGATAATTCAGCTTCCCTCCCCGCCCCTGTAATGTGAATATCATGTGCTAGTGAATGCTTTCTTATTCTCCAGTTCATCTTGGCCTTCAGAGTGTACATGATTTATTCTGTCTTTTCTATTCTTCCAAGTCCTGTGCATCAGTCAAAGCGTTGCATATGAACCAACAAATAAGAGCCCTGTTTCTACAGAGTATGTTCTCTCATGCACCTAATAACAGGTTTTACGTGTGGTAATACACCGTCCTTTGAGCATGACTGAATGCAAAAACGGGATGATTAAAATTCCTTAATTCAGCTGAGCATAATGTAGCTGGATGTATTCTCTCTGCACTGAATGAATGTAAGAAGCTCAGTTACTCAAATGCCTTCATTAATAGGGATTTTCACGGTGCATAATCAGTTCACAGATAGGCTTCTGGCAAGCTTTAATAACATTGTTGTTGGACTGTTTTGCGTTATAAACCTTTTTTTTTTCTAACATTGAAACTATTGTATGTTGCAGCATCTGGCAGTTTACACCCCCACCACGACAAAAAAAGAGTGTTTGACAAGCAGGGATCTAAGAAGCTGCGGGTCCTCAGTGCAGGAAGAGAGGAGTCATCAGGTTAGTTATGCGTGTTTGGTGGTGGGTTATAGTATATGTATATGGTAAGGTGCATAATTCTGGTTAACAACCCCTCCAGGTGCTGTAAGTGGTAAGTACAGAAAGAGGAGTAAAAGCAGGCAGAAGGGCACCCCTCCATCGAGTGGGCAAGAGAGCAGGCAGCAGCCGCTGACCCTAACAGAACAACCGGAGCACCTAGCAGCAGGTGAGGGTCACATCAGCTGCAAATAGAAAGACTTCAGGACAGCAGGAAGACATTTACAATTTCAGACTCAGTGATGGTTGAAAAAGTGCAGCAAGACAGCGAGAGATAAGAACTTGAGACGAAAGAGAATAATATGCATGTTGGGTGATGTTGGCTTCTGCTTTGTGTGTTCTGATTTTAACAAGCAGCTCTTTTATACACGTGAAAAACACCTATTCCTGCTCTTAATTTATAAATTACATCACTTCAAAATATTGCATGAATTTTAATGAGCCCCATTCTATCCGGCACACACGCTTTTGTTCCCCCGTTTAAATTTTACATAACCCACGTCAAGGCCACTCGCAGAAACCCCCCCAGTCCAACACCTGAACTCGCACGCACACGCACCTACGCTCACATTGTTCTTCGCAAAATGAGCGCACGTGTTTTGAAAGCTCAATTATGGATGTTTCTCCACAGCAGTAAGCTCCTTTGCTGCAGCCCTGCCCACAGACGGAAAGTAGTTAGTTCATTAATGGTAATGTGGCACATTAAATAAAAGTCAGAGGGACATCTCCTGGGCCCAGGGTTTGCCACACAGTGGGCAATTAGAGAAAGTGATTATACTGTCGAGAGGTTCAAATGTGCTCACTCATTCAGATTTAGGTGCCTCTTTCTTTGATCTCTGGCTTATCTGGGAGTGTAAGGATTCAGTATTTCTTGCATGCACTAAAGGTTGATAAAGCTTTTACCTTCTTTGCTATATATCGACAAGCATCGTGTCAAATGTTTTGTTCATTGCTGTAAGGTTTTCTACTATTGTTCTGAAAAAAAAAAGTGGAAAACCGAATGACTTAAACAGAACCGAACCAATATTTGCCTGGAAAATAGGTGCCTACAGCTAAGGTGTCTGATTTTTAACAATGTTTGGACAAAGCTGTCGTTCTGTGAGTGATGACTTAGCAGTAAACATGCTTTCTTACTCCTGATTATGTTTATATTGTAACATTCTCATTAACTTATCAGCATAACAGGGCTATTAATGAAACGTACAAACACGTGAGTGCAGGATAAATTAATACTCACTTTTGGCAAACAATGGAATTAATTACAGCCTTGCATATTGTTATTAGGAATTTCTGTGTGCATATAATCAAACAAATTTGCGATGACGAGCCACATGATGAAGAAAAAAATTCAAAAGGATTTATTACTTCCTGTAATTAGACTGTCTAATTGTCCTCTCATGTTCTCTGAGCTTTTTCTGCAAGACTTACTTTGGAGTTTATACACATTTATACAAAATGCTTTATAACATTCGTGTGCACTTGTTTCAAAGAGAGAATTTCCTTCTGCTTAAAGTAAAACTCCATTACTTTCATCTTCTGGTCATTTTTTTTTTTTTTTTTAAGATGAAAGAAGCTGCAGTCCTGCCAAGGAAAGTTCAAGAGTCGCTTCCACCCCAGCAGAGTCCCGACTCTGCTCGATGCGGTCAGGTTTGTCTTCTGACCTGCAGGTCTGGAGCAGCTGGGAGAGTAATGAGGGGTCTGAGCCCCAGCTCACTCTGCAGGAGGAGGTGTTCACTTTCTCATCCCATCCTCACTCACCCAAACGGGGGCAAGGCCAGGGTGACCAGGACAAGATGGAGATGGGAGATGATTTGGTTCAGAACAAAAGTGGGAGGCGGTATGATGCCAAGCCTGAAGATGACTTTATTGGCAGCGAAAGTGATGAGGTATGTTTCCTCCAGGGGAGAGATACAAGCACACTGTACTTTGGATGCACACCCATTTGAAGCACTCTTATGTTGCTAGGACACTAATTACCATCTGTCTTGAATAGGAAAATGAGCTGCGTTATATCACATACACTCAGACAAAGAGCAGATTTAAAACTGTATTAGTTTTTGTTTTTTATTACAGCAGCCTAATTCATCAGCAAACAATTCACTGCATCGTAAAATCTTACAATATGCGCACGTTTTGATTGGGTTCAGTTTCATTTTATTACATTTCAGAGTACGCTGTATATATTGTACTGTGGAGCACGGTGTTTCATGTTGCACAGTTAATAGTGTGTAGTGTACTTTCGCTCCAAAGGTCAGTGGGGTTATGTATCATCAGTTAATTTATTAATAGCTCAGAGACGTGTAATAAAGAACAGTAGTTTTCTTTATGCTGAGCAGGGAAATTAAACCGTTGAGCTATGGTTATAAAGAACTGTCTTCAAAGAGATGCTAATTGCTTTTACTTATTTAAAACTTTATAATAAGTCTGATAATTCAGAGTTACGAACCTCATTGTGTTAGTGATTCGTTTGCCACAATGCATTTTTCTAGTGTTAAAGTAATGCATTCTAGCTTTCATGTCAGTGACAAAATCCATTCTTATACACACAGGTACTGACAGTTTCCTCTAAAACAGTCAATTTCAGAGTTTTTTCATGGTCCATTTCCAGATGTGCATGGTTGGAATTCGGGAACCAGAGTGAGCTCATTAGAAAAACAGAATAAAACAGTTGGTTTTTATGGTGACCTTTGTAAGCTGCAGGTATGACCTTTTTCTTCTGTGAAGCCCTATGCAGAGTTGACATTTTTTCTTTAGATTCTGCAATACCTGTTGGTTTGGAGAATGGTTTCGTGTCTGTGTTCACCTCCGTTCAATGTGCACAGCTCTTTCAATTTCTTAGTTTATTCTTATCACTATTATTATTATTATTGTTGTTGTTGTTGTTGTTATAGTTATAGCAGCACTCCCTGGGCCATCTTCCCAATGCAAAACAAACAACACACTCACAAGCACACTTATATACCCACATAGGTTGTTAGAGGCAAGCATCCTTCTCCCCATGCGATCAAATGATCACGTAGCCTTTTTTTTCTCCACTGATTTCAAATGCTGCTCTAATAAGGAACCCATCAGAACACTTCAAAAGAAACAAACACCACCGTAGGAATGTACTGCCTGAGCTCTGACTGGTACAATAACATATACCGGTAGATGTGCAGCATGTTTATTTCCAGCATTGTCTCTTTATTTGTCTGCCGTCTAAACCAGAACCTGCCTGGACAGTGGACTGTCTGATTGAAAAGCTAAGTGTAATATTTGTTTCAGCCTTTGTCATGTTTATTATTTGTTGGCTTTGACACGTGCTCTGTTACCTCTAATGCCGCCCTGTCCGTGGTGATACGGCTCACAGGCAGTTCTTTTCTCTCCACCTGAACGTGCTTTGTAGGGACTGTGTATTTGAGTTCTGGGAAATTAACTGATAGCAACTGTGTTAAACAGCTGAGGTTGAGAGTAAGTGCATGCACAAAAAAAAATAAATTACAACATTTCACAGTGAAATTACACTGCAGAGGAAGCAGAGAAACCAGTTGATATAATGCAGTGCACGCTATTCTAAAATCAGCAGCAGAGAGAAGGATATTTTCATGTTTTCTTAGTTCCACCTTCAGCTTTACTGTGTTTTCTGTTTTTCTGGTCATTTTGAAAGTGACTATTATTCTTCAGAGGAGGAAAAATGAGAGGGCCACACTTTGCTATATCCAAAGAAATCACAGTTTTTCTGAAAGGACACAATGGCTATTCCCTCGGGTATCCAAAAATATCATACACTGGATGGCCGCAACTCTTTCAGGTATAAAGTACACTGCAACCGGCTGGCCTGTGGTGAAATGTTTTCCTTTGATACGTTTTTTACGACGGCTGATGGAGCACAAAACACACTGAAGCCATACTGACCACATAGCCATGCCCATATGACAGCACATTCGTGACATTACCGAGCAGCACTATTGATTCGATAACCAACTGCGAATGAGACGCAAGAGAGTTTTGATGAAGAGATCTAAAGGGGAATTCATTTTTGTTATATGCAGTTTGTTTGTTGTAGCGTGGAAGCACTGGTCAGGAGATGTGCTTTTTCATTGTAATTTGTGCATTATTTATTTGCATTATTGCTTATTTATTCAACATAATGCAAAGATTTAAACTCCTAAAAAGACACCAAATCGCTTGTTCTATAGCACATTTATGAGTCATCATTAAACATTAGCAAACTGGGGTGGCTCACGTTAAACTATGTATGTGACTGACTACCTGCTGTTCTGTTTTGTGCAGGCATTGAGATGTTGGTGTGATAACATGCTGAGCTAGAAACCTGCTGTCAAACAGTTTTATAGAGAAAAAAATTCACATTTTTTACGTGTGTTCATACAAAGACCATTCTCAGCACATATATAATGGAATAGAAAGATCTGCACATAAGCCGCTTGGATCTCAGACTCCCAAGCTATAGGTATTCAGATAGCACTTATGATGAGTTACGATAAAAGTGCTAAAATTAACACAGGAGAGGATGATCTCATGTCACAACTTGGATGCTGTGAATTTCATGATTAGGCGCTGGGAGTGAAGGATGTGTATCCAAAGAGGTTTTTACCTTATGGTAGTACCTGATTAAATTCTCATTTATGGGAAATCAGAATTAACAATTCAAAATGAGTAAAAGGTGAGGCTCAGTAGCTCTGTGTAGCATATGTATGGAAAAAAACAGGAACTTGTTTTTGATGTCGAGGGTCGTCTTTCAGAAAACCTTGTGTGCATAACCAATAAAAAGGCTTCTACCTGACAAGAATGCAACTGCATTTGGAGCCTACCAGTCCCAAAAGCTCCATTAGTGGCCACATCTGTTCTCATACCAACTGACCTGTCTCATGCTAGCAAGAATATTAACTAAGAGATGCAATATGTACTGTAATATATTTCTTCGATAAGGACGGCAGTGTAGCTTAAATAGGTGCGTGGTATAAAGAGCGTTACAGGCTGTGGGAGGATTTTTTTGACCCAAGCCGTGCAGTGCTCGAAGCTTTAGCGTGCTTAGCTACCATGTGCTGCCACCCTGGCAATCGTCAGCCACCAGACTGTGGTTAGTTGCCATCTGACCCAGGTTACCCAGATTTAGATTTTGATTCATTTATGGCAGATTGCTCATTTCTCAACTTGGAGCAATATCGTCTTTCACGGCGTTGCATCAGGTTCACGCAATTCTTTTGAGCGAGCATTTTTTCTTAAACATAGAGAAATATTAAAGGCATAACAAAGCAATGAACTTTCATTGTATGAACTATTTTGAGATCTATTAGAAGCAACGGGCCAAGGTAACGTTTCGGAGGAATGGAGTTGTTTTAATGCAACAATAACTGAAACAATGGACCCTGCAGTACTTCGGTGAAGAGCATTGGTGCTGACAGCCACACCCATATCAGGCCTTTCAATAATACATGTATTTCATTGTTTATTCACCTGCGCTTATGAAAATGATAAAGCATGGAAGGAGAAGAGAAAACAAATAACATATGGAGACAGTGAGCTAAAAACCTCAAGGGGCTTATGATAACCTTTCACCCCAAAACAAAGCTCAGAGATTAAAGAAAACACCTCAAAAACAGGCAGCAGAAGGGAGAAATGGAGCGATAGAGAGGCTTGTTGTTCCAAGAAAAGCTTCAAGCAGTTTAATGCATGAGAAACAATATCTGGTGTTTTGAATTTCTCGGTTCTATTGAAAGCAGGATTTCTAGAAACAGAAATAAAATTCTAAACATCTATTTGTCAAGTAAAGATAATTAATATTGCAGTCAATAATTGGTCTTGACATTTTAAACCAGTGGTGCAGAATACCAACTATGATCCACTGAAGATCTCTGTTTTAGATACGGAGCGTCGGCTCCAGCAGTAGCTCTGAAGTTTGCAGCTTGCTTCTTCTTCATGGATGACGGCAGCTGTTGTCAGTTGGTTTCACAGCATTTGCAATAGATTCTATCTGCGACCCAGTTTCTCGCTGAAAGAAAAAGTGTCAATACATTCAGAGAAACTTTCCAGCACCTCTTCAGCATAATCACTAATGCTCTGTCCACACATGCTGCATGCACGGTATGTTCCCATACTATGCACACAGCACCGGTGCCTCGCCAGCCCAGATAGCTTACATCTACACTGACTACACGTCCTTACCTTGGTGTGGAATTCAAAGAATGGTCAACTGTTTCATGTGTGTCTTTGGTGACAAAAGTGCTTCTTGCTGTGGGAGTATTTTTTCTGAGAACTTTACATGGGCATTTTGATGCTTTTTTTTTCTCGTGCAGCGAAACTGGGTCACCACTGGAATCCATTTTTACTGTCGTGAATCCACATGCCATCCTCGCTAAAGGAGCAAGTTACAAACTTTTCAGAATGATGCATCTTTCTGGCTTACAATGGTTTGATATTCAATACTTGGGTTTTTTCCTTTCGATGTTGAGAAGAACCGGGTGCTGTTTGTGTGTATGCAGACAACACCGTTTAAACTAGGGAGGTAACTCGGAATTTGAAGGTGGGACAGATTAGCAGATATAAAGAGGAAGCCATTAGCCTTTTTAAATGTGAGGTTAATTTAAAGCTGAGCCACCGACACCTGGTCACCTCCAGTGACTGCCATTTTATTACTGTGTCCCATTATGCACACATCACTCCAAAGGGAAGAGCACTACAATGGATATCTCAAACATTAAAAATAGCCCTCCATATATTCTTAGGGCATGACTAATCATCACAAAAGGGGTGTTTAGTGTGATGTACAGACGCTGTGTTTTTGTTCTTCTTCCAGGATAAGAGCTACACCATGTTCCAGCGTCAAAACACTAGTATGTCCAACCCTGCTACCCCCAGAACTCCTGAACCGGCTTTGGGTGTTCAACATGAAGGCCATTCTGAATCCCCTAACATGGACCAAATATTCCCCGAAGAGCTTTGTCTACCTAACACCAGTATTCAGCCTTCATCCAGTGGCAAAGCTGAACCAGCTATAATGGTCCCTGCACGCTGCCTTTCACCTAACAGACACAAACACAAGAGCGGTCCGAGGGGATCAGAGGAAGTGAACCAGTTTCTGGATAAGAACAGCAGCGTATCGCTTTCTAGGAGACTCCTGCAGGAAGTCAAACTGGGCGAGTCCAAACGACACAAGGTAGTGCTTACAATTATAACAACCAGCAGTCCTCATCCAGCGTGCTATGGCTTTTTCTGTGACCAGGAGACAAGCGTATAAATGACTGTTATTTTGAAGTTCCTCCTCATAATTAACTCGTTGGATAGCTTGGCCACTGCACATAATTACCTCCAGCGTAAGAAGTCCGTGTTTGATGCTACCTTGTGTTGCCATTCTTAATCACACTTAATCACAAACTTGACCGCGAAAGAAATATCTCCTATTTGCAATTAAAAACCAAGTTTAGCAATTCTTTTTCCATTAATCCTTTTTTTAAAAAAAAAAAAAAATCATTTAAGATTTAGCATCATCATTAAATTCTGTTATTTTAATCAAAAGATTGTCCAAAATCAAACGGGGGGCTCAAAGTCCTGAACATCAAGGAGAATTAATATTGCATTTCTACAGAGCGTTTTAATTTCTGTAATCACATTGTTTAGGTTTCATGCCCTGTGAATTTACTTTATAGTCTGAACATGAATCCAAGCCACTTTCAATAATCCCTGCAGGCAATCGTTTTCACCAAAAAAAGCTTTGATGAATCCATTGTACATTTGTCCAGCACCAAACATCAGACAGACAAAGTCATCAAGTGGTGAGAAAAAAAAAAAAAGTTGGAACACCTACCAGGCTCGATCAAAGATGCAGACATGTTTGTCAGGAGTTGGGAGAGACACAGCAGAATAAAGAAGGGAGTAATTGTTTATATGTTTTTCTTCCTCCACAGCCGATCAATGCGGCTCGGTTTAATGAACATTAGTATGATTAAATTCCATTTGAAAGTGCTTCTTTACAGTGACTGTCAAAGTCCTCAGTAGATGGGCTTCACTCAATTCTGGTAATTTGCAGTTAAAATGATATTCATCTCGAGCTGGGATGTGTAGAATGGGTTTGGGAGGCCTCGTGGCAAATGTGCAGCTTATTAAAAACTGATGGTATTATGTCTAGCTGTCTCTCTTTGCCCATAGTAATGTGTGATCACTGCCGATTTGGACAGCTCCTGGGGACTGGTGAAAAGGTTGGTAGGATCAGACTGTGGTCTGTTACAAATCGAGGTAGGGCCCCTGCACCGTTTGAAAAGATCCAGGATCAGAAGATAGTCAACTGACGCGATCACGAGGCCTGAGGGAAGATCTGTCACTTGGCTTTTGCTTACTGCATTTACACAACTCACTGCTGAATGATATCCCAGCATCCTTCATCACTGCAGCTCCTGACTGCTGATTTGTGCCAACTCCAGCAGGCAGCATGCAGTGAAGGCTTTGACTGAAAGGTTGTCAGAGAAATATGACAAGGAGTTTGTTTCCCTTCCTGCAGCCCCGGTTTATCGACTGCCATTGATTCACCACCAGGGCAACATCAGGCTTGCACTTTGTCAGATGAATCACGTTACCATAGTAGTCTCTTAAATCAATAGATCCACTGTTAAAAGACATTTCCTTAGAGGGTCAAAACAATGGCGCATGTCCAGCACTGCCTTAAGCTCTGTCTGGAACTATAGCCCGTTGTTAAAATTTTCACTACTTTGTTGACTGCACAAAACACATTCTATCAACTTTGTGGATTTTTGTGTGTCTGACACTGACTAAGTGCAAAGTATTGTATGTTGGATTGCTTCCAAATAAGTCCTCTCTGTTTTTATGGGTGATAAATTTGAAGGAAGAAGAAGATGAGGCACTGAAGCCTGTTGAATCCAGTCATTATGACTTACACCTGCTTGGCAGTCTACGGATACGTGGGGATGATGATGAGGAGCTCCGAATGCTGGCAAGCCTAAAAAGAGAGCAGGAGGAAGATGAATGTAGAGCCTCGGGCCTCAGTGCATCTCAGATCCACCAGTGTAATGTCAGCATCAGCGTGAGCAGTGATGACACCTCTACATGGACCCGCATCTCCATGGTGAGTGCTAATCTGGTCTGCTACTATTGATCTTTTGTTGTTGACTCTCCACTAACAAACAGCACATGTGCAGCTCATCTACCACTCACAGCGCCGGTTTCCCCCCTTTTCCGTTTGCTGCTCGGAATATTTTTTTTCGACCCTGGTTGATCCTCGCTCCTGCTAATTTCCATTTCAAGCCCCAACTTATGCCACCATGAAGTGCTAATGCACCTCTTTCTCCAGTGTGTTTTCTGCATTACAAAAGGTTATGGAGATAGAAACACATTAATTGGCCTCTTCCTGCTTTTAAAAGTACACTGGCATAATATCCACAGTTCCCCCAGTGACTAAAAATTATTTAGGTCATTTGAAATTATCCCCAGAAGTCTTTTTAGAATTCAAAGATGGTGTGGTTTGCTCTTGGCTATTGAAGGTCATTTAGATCTATGGGCCATTAGCATAAGCACGTTGCACTGATGAAGAGAGAACGCTGGCCTGCCTGGCACTGCTGGGTCCACTGTAGGATCCCCGATGAGTACAATCATTACGGATGCTCGAGTTATAGGCCTGTTACCATTTCTGTACATGCAGGTATCCATTAGTGCACCGAGATTCAAAGAATAGTGGTATTACCACAGGGATTATCATCTTCCTTTTGAGGCCGCGGTGATGTGGCCACCAACAAACGCACGTATCTTTAGACCCCACATAGGGTACAGTTTTCTACAGGGACGAGACAAGATTTACATTTGACTTAATGAAGCCCCGAAGTGATATTTTTTGAATCGGCTGCAGTGTTTACAATTCTAAATATATACTGTATGGCAACAGCACCACCAACAGTATATTAAGAAAAGGCTTGCCAATAAAGAGAGAGGACAAGAGATGAAGAAAGACACAACAAATAAATCATATTTTTTGTCGAATACAGACGTCGCACCAAATGAAACTTAAAAGGACGTCGTGCATTTAAGATAGAAACGAGGCGATTAAGGGACCTGAGAAGAGAGCAGTCACTTCCTGGGGATTGGACTCCTTCGCTGGGAATGACAAGCCGTTTCTTGTCCTTGGATTCTGTCGTGCCAGTGGTCCCCGCTGCTGTCATTCACGTTATTGTTGCTGTTTTCTCTGCTGCCGCTGCAGCTGCATCTACTGTACCAACCCAGAAAGAAATTCACCCCTAGGCGGTTGTGTGCCTGCGTTACAAGGCTGAACACAAAAGAATCAACTTATAGATTGAATGGTTGTGTGAAATTAGATTTCCGACACTTTTGTATTTGGTCCTAGATGTGATACATATTCTCTCTGACTGAAGTAAGAACTGTCATGTCAGGATTCAGAGATTTAAAAAAAAAAAATGTGTCACTGAAAGCTACAGACGGGAGTCAGACAAAGAAAAAGAAAGAAAACGCGCTATCAGTAAAACTCCACCCACTGAAATTTTTTGCATTTTAGCCTTAGAAACAATTGTTGTCTTCCCTGACAGAGGAAAAAAAAACAGCTGTGTTTAACTGGATTAATGTCCGTTACAATGCAACGAATAGTTAGTTTTATACATAAACTATCAAATGTCATAATGGGATGAAAGGTTTATAAAATGTTTCAGCCATTTTATTTTTTTTACTTAATTATTTATTGATCAGTGTGAAGTCAAATCTCAATAGTCCATTAAAGAACAGAATAACAATTATCAGCTCTGTAAAATGATGTTGTCTAAAATGTTGTTTATAAGTTGCCATAAAGGAGCCGTAAATACCCCTGATGTGGTGTTGCGCCTTCGTTTGCGTTAGGAGAAACATAGGCAAAGAAAAATTAGATAACTGTACCATGAAACCCACTTTTTGGTACATCTCCTTCACTTTTCTTGTCCTCTCTAAGCAAGTTATATCCAGCAGTAGTTTTTGTCTTTATTTGAACTCTGGCATTGAACCAGATTTCTGCGAGGAGACAAAAAAAAAAAAAGAAGCCTGGTACGGTTTTACTTATTAACACGTACAATTTTGGAAGCAAGCTCCTTATATTTGGGCGTGGAAGGCTGAGTCCTAGATATTTCCTAAAATCAAGGGAGGATTATTAATATATGTGTTAGGACAGAAAATTATATTATGAGGAAGAGTAGGGAGAGGTCTCATATCCGCTAATGCAATGCAGCCTTTTAATTTTGCTGGGGCACATGCACAATGAGGGTAAACAATAGGAGTTGCACGCACAGAAGAAAAAGTAGGAAAACAGCCACTAGAGAGGAGCCGAACCACCTGTCATCTCCTCCGTACCGCCTGCATAAAACAGGTTGTATGGCTGAAAAAATTATGTGGTTTTGTTTTGCTGAACATATTTGCCGAACAGGTATGTGCAGCATAGCTTTACAACCTTCACAAGGGCTCTGCTGAATTTTAATGTTTCTCTATTCCAACAGATAGAGTCTTAGACAGTGTTGACCAGATAAAGCTCTTAAGGTGTTCTGATTGTTGTGTGCCGTTTGACCCCGGCATATAGCATACCAGACGTATGAAGAGGATATGTAGAAGGGATAGCAAAGGCTTAAGGGCCGAGGTGTTTGAGCGTCAACCAGGGAGCCAGTGCAAACAACAGAGATGTTGAAATAGGCTGGGGACCCAGTCTTAGCCTTACCTGATGTGTAGGTTTTTCTGAGATGCAATGCAGCGGGCAGTGTATGAGGCAAGTCATCACGTTGACCCCCCAAGCTATAGGCGCCAGGTGCTGAGGAATTAAACGACCAGACCACGTTTTTCAACTGGGTCAAGAGGTGGTGTTTATAAAAAAAAAAAAAAAAAAAAAAAAAAAAAAGACTTTCTGCAGCATATATACTTCCGATTATTCTAAGCAAGTCGTCTCTTTGAAACTGTACCTCATGCAGGTTTAAATGACCGTGTGAGCTACTGGGTTTACTGTCACAGAGGGAATACAGAAACGCTCGCCTGAATTTTCTCCATCACCCTACAGGTACCTCATCATCATCAGCGCATATTACCTGCAGAATTCCACAGGGGGCGATTTTAGGTCCTGTCTTATTTTAAGATGAGGATTACGGAAAGAAGGCATGGGAGCACACAGATAGCTAAAATTAACTCAAGGAATGCGAGGACTACAGCCTCAACATGACTGCTTCTTCATCAAAGTCATTTACTGTAATATCCTTTAACAGGCACTACACTTAAAAAGCCTCCTGAGGCCATAATATGGTCTTTAGCTTTGACAAGATGGAGATGGTAGTGCACTTGTGCTTCTTACGGCTGAAAATCACTATATATTTAAAAGGGAAACCGTTGCTGGCTTCTACCTCCAATTTCCACCTACACTAAAAGTCTCTTATACTCGCGGCAGACAATGAATGCAATTATTAGACTTTGAAAAGACTCCAGTTGCAAATATAACACAACCTAAATTGGTTTGTTTCCTCATGATTGTGTAGCACATCTACATTTTTGAACAGATTATAAAATTCTATGGTTTGTTCGCCCCCTTATTTTTCACCAGTGTTTTCTGTGTCTGGCTGCTTCCTCCATTTTTCCCTTGTGTGTTTGCTTCTTGTGGTTTGCCAGACGGACAGATTTTTTAGACTCGGCTTGTTAGTCAGTTACCTTGGCGCGCAACATAGAAATAGCCTTTTTGCCCTCTTGACCTGAGCGTGCAGCACAAGGATTTCCATGGGCTGTACATTTGTAGAGGCGAAGAATTAAGCTTAGATTGTGGTTGTGCAATGGCTTTTGTGAGAAACGTCTTTGTCTAACTTTGACTTCTTCCGGATGCGGTTCTTTATGTGTAAGTTCAGTGAGTTATATTGTTCTGGGCAGTCATTTGTCCACAAAAGGTAAACGGCATTTCTGTTCAAGTGGCAGAAGAAAAATAAGAAATGACTCAATTAATAAGTAGCATGACGGCATGGTTTATCTCTCTGGTTAGACTGCATTAATTTGTTCAAGGTACTCTAGAGAAATAAATAAAAATAAAAAGTATATGTCTATTCATGCAGTCTTAAGGATGCAACCTTGAGTTTAAAAAATTCTCCAAATGTCCTGAAACATATATTAGTCAAAAGATGTGCAATTTCTGTTGAGAGATATCGTCTTTTGACAAGCACTTGAACTTAATTAGTGGTCTTGCGGTGAGCAGCACAATGACTTTCGATGCCGACCCGCACTGAATGAAACAGATTATTCTGAACCTCAAAAATATTTTGAATCTCTGTGATTTGTAACTGTTCATCTTTTTTTCTTTTTGTGCCTTAATCGAGCACTGAGTGGTCTTTTAGACTCAGCGAACTTCATCTTCATAGGAATGCGAAATGGGAGCTAAATTTGAGTATTCAGCGACATTTTAACACAGCTTCTGACTTCTCTCTTCATTACTGCTCTAGCCAGCTAATCAGGGCCACCACTACCAGAAGGAAATGACTCCCCTCCTGCAATCAAATCCCAGGTAAGAAGCATGGTTCACCCACACACACACAGACGTGTTTCAAATCTGTAAATTTAAAATAAAACGCACTCGACAAGTAAGACGGTGTCGCCTGAGAGGATAAAGAAAAGTACGATCTTCTTTGTTTTGTGCATTTCTATGTATTGCACGTGGCTGTAAAGGCAGTTGTTTTCCCTCAAAATAACTGACGTGCTGCCTTTAAAAGCCTCTTTGGATTCGCGATACCATGAGTGAATAAATTGTCCCTAAAATTCTCGCTGATGAATTTCACCTGCACGTACACGAAGCTCCCCCTGAAATCCGTAGTCAGATGGTTACCAGTGACTGCAATATTTAGGCTAAATGTCAGCTGTCAAATAAATATACAGACTGAGGCTTATCTCGCTCACAGATGAGTACAAATTAATTGAGAGTGTGCCAGGTACTGTACATTCTGTCTCCCTTAACTGCTGTTGTCATTTTCACAATGGCAGATTATTTTTCACTTATTATCACGTCTGTCAGATTCATCGCTGGAAAAGTTATGTACGACGCCTTTCATTCACTGTATAATTAATGCCAGGCATCAGGTTCGGGGCGCTCCAAAATCATTATAAAAAAAGCCAGCATTAGGCTTTATGCACAGCGGGGAGCTTCAGTTGTTCATAATGCAAAACAGCCATAAGACATGTTCCACCTTGTTTTTTTCAACCTACAGGTTAAAACAAAACAAAGTTCTAACCTCAGAAAGAAAACAAAATGATGAATGGGCTTATGTTGCTGGAGGAGAAAGAATAATTCAAAAAAAAAAAAAAAGAGTGTTATATCCATTATCAACTTCAGGCGTATACAGCGCTAAACAGAATACATATTATGAAGCTCAGAAATCAGAAAGTGAAAGGAGAGAGAAAGTGGTCACGTTAAAAAGGAAAGTCTGCATCAGATGTCCTTTGACGTGTGTTGAACATCACCAGTCGGTCTTATATATCCGTGACTGACAGTGAACGGCTTCAATTATTTTCAGATATGTTAAATTGTATTAGTCAAGGTAAGACGAAATAAAATGGTGTTTTGTAACTCTCATTTAAGCCCGATCTATTATTTAGAAATGTTCCTGGGAGAGAATAAAGCTCGGGCTTGAGTGAAGGAGCTCTTGGAATGGGTTCAGTGCATAGATTTGGAGGACAAGGGAAGAGAAACTCTGAAATTAAGTTGAAACACCTTCAGTGTTCTAGTGTCTGTGTAGATTCTAAGTCGTCCGGTTCACGGTCATCCAAAGAGCTGCGGTTTGTAAAAAAAATAAAATAAAATAAACGGACATCTCTTTTTTTTTGTTCTTGAATAAAACTGATGGAGCTTCTTTGATGAAAGGCCTTCAAGAGCCAAAAACAGGAGTCTGTTTGCTTTTTGCTGGAGCTCCTAGGACTTCAACGCTATTATTAATTCTACAGTCTTAAAGATTCAAATCGATATTACAGCGTGCAGCGCGGTAAATTCCAACATTTATCACATGCTGGCTTTTAAGCGCCGCGTGTCCACCTAGATGTTCAACTGTGGCAGGAATGAATCCGCTTCTCCTCTTTGGAGGCTTCTGGAGACGTCATATTGTCCCACAGCTTGCTTTGCCTTGTCTCTGCACATTGCCATCTCTTTGTGGGTATACACAACCATGTGGTATGTTACAAAAGAAGACAAAGGGATTGCATCACAGTTCCGCTACTCATATTATGCAACCTCCTCCCCTCAAACACTTTGATTTATTGATGCAAAGCAAGGTAGCCTGGTGCGAACATGCGTGGAGTCCCGTGTACTCAAACGCTGTTGTTTGCGTTATTGTTTAGGACTGATTTAAAGATCTCATTTTAAATTTATTGCGTTTGATCAACAGTAAGTACAAGCAGGATAGATGTTGAGGGTGTGTTTTTTTTCTTCTTCTTCTCTGTGTTCTGGGAGGCTTGAAACATGTCTGTGGGCTGTTAAATATTTTGTGAAGTGATGCCGTTTGATTGAATGTCCACTGAAATGAATATTCCTATTGACAAGCACCTCAAACGCACTGCTCGACTTGTCTCACACGGCTCCACAGCAGCCACAGCTGTACTACTGAAATTAGACTTCGAAGCAAGCCTCGATTTACATATTGAATAGCAGCTGCACAGGATTTGTCGTTGTTTTCTTTCTTTTCTTTTAGGCATTGCATCCTGAGACACCCTTACAGTGAATTCTATCATAGTGTTTTTTTTTTTGAGCATCCTGGCACCACTGCAAGGCTTTCTTGCTGTCGAGAGCTACAGCTTCCGTGACAGCTAAAACGCTCCTGTTGCTGTGCTTAATGCTGCCAGTGCTTTTCTAGTATTTTTAACATGTTTCTTTGCTCGTGATGATTGTGTCTGCCTTTGGCTGGCATACCAAATATGAACCCGTAAATAAGACTTTTTTGTTGCAATGCTATTGTGTACAGTTGTTGTGAACTTTTTGTAAAGTTGCCAGCGTATCAGACAAACAGAGCCGCCTTGATGCCGTTTCATCGGGATATATTTGGAAAGCCTATTTTCAATGTACTTCACCGCTGTGCAGAAACAGTGCAGTTGTTCAAATTAAATCAAGCTAATTTATTCCCTTTTTCACAGGTCTATACTTGGGTTATAATGACTTGAAAATCTCAGAATTTAATCACTGTTGCCGAGTCCCACTTCACAATTTGAAGTCCAATTTACAGTTCAGTAGCAGAGGCCCTTGTCCTTGAAAATTGCTTCCATTAACTTTTGTACAATGTTCCTGCCTATCACGCAGTCAAAGGGTTGTTGGAGGGAGGTAAATGCCTTTGTTAGAAAGAAAAATCCCAGCTTCAATAGAGATAATGTATTTTATCACTTTAAAGGCATAAAGTTAGAAATGAAGGAAATTAATTCATGCTTAAATGCACAGAGAGATGAGATAAAAATGAATCTGCCTGTTTGTAAGTTTAATGTAATCATACCTCAATCAGCTCCGGCGTTAAAATCCCCTCTCTGAGACCGTGTAGGTTGGCGTTGAGTATGTATTTTAATGCAGCGCCTTTTCGCCGAGTATTAAGCACAGCCATTAAAATAAACATTTGCCTTTGACACACTTCGTCAGGCGACGTGATCTTGGAGTTTTTCTCAAAAACTATTATCAGAAGAGCACAGTGTTATTGATGTGTTCTGATATTTTCAGATAATGATTTTCCAACACCCATGCAGGGCCATTAATCAGGGAAAATGGTGGAACTGTAAACATATATAATTAGAATTTTATGAACCAAACAGGATAGCCAGTGAAAATGATTTCTCTGCTGAGCGAATAAGACCCAACGGTTTGTCAGAAGGGTGGATGTCAAGATGGAAAGAAGAGCAAAAATCCAAACCATGAACATTTTATCTAGTGAGTGCTCTGTTCTAGAAAGAGTGACATTATCAGTCGTTTTGATGGTGAGACAGACCGAGCAGAGGCGACCGTTTGAATCGCCGTCTGTCAGCTGAATACTCCACAGAAGAAGATTATATTGTAACTCCTCATTAAATATGCTACGATGTGATATGAGATGTTTTGTCCAGAGGCCAAAGATGTTAATGGATAATTGCACAACTGTTGTATAGCCACAGATGACTATGAAAGCTGTTTAACAAATGAATCTTGCATTGCTTCCAAGTAATAATTCATCTCATGATATTTCCTCTCTGGCTGTAATCTCCTACGCCCATACTAAAAAGCAGTGTTTTCATTCGCTGGGAAGTGATTGATGTATAGGTGTAGCCTGCGTACGCCACAGGCGGGGATGATAAACTCATTTGGGGGGGAAAAGAAGCCGTGCTGTCGCGGAAACAGGCAAGGTTAAGACCCTTCCTCTGTGCCAGAATGTGGACACTTGGAAGTCACAGCTGGAGTCGGAGTCTAATAAGTGATCCTTCAGGTAAAACTGAAAAGCCTGTGAGACTAAGTATGCAGGAGAAGTGGCTCAAGGACAATGGAGGCTTAGATGGGCCTCTGAAAGCACATGGTGATGGAATCTCATTGTTAAAATGCCATATAGTAGGATGGTGAGTGTAATGGCATGTGTTGTCATGACTGTCTGCTTTTATGGTCTTTTCCCTAGGGAGTGGATGGACGTGCTCAGCCCTCCTATTATGCCTCCCAGCCAGCAGAGAAGGTCAGGCAACACATGGAGCAATCGGGGAAGTCTAGTCGGAGGTACAGTAACCTTCATTTTACTCCCTTTGTCTCCAGAGTGCCTTTTATGTCCTTGGAGGTCGGGAAGACAGCAAATAATCCAGCGCTTTAGCATTAACACTAATTGCACAAATGCATACAACTAATGGGAACACTGAGTGGTGTCAGCGCCTACAAAAATGTTACATTTCCACCGAAGGCTGCGCACAGCAAGGTGGGAAAGCGAGTGGAACTGTATCTAATTAACGGTGGAAAAAAACCCATGAGAGTGGAGCTCTCTGTCCTCCACATAACGCCATAGGTCAGAGGAGACAGGCTCATTACAGGCCTGTACCCCCTAGACACATCGACAAGGTTAATTGATGAAACCTTTTCCAGTTTACAACATCATTTTTAAACCTCTTACACAATGTGTCTTATAATTAGTTTTCATTATTGTTGCCCAAGTTCTGATAAGATAAAATGTTCGTCCCGGAGCTTTCCATAACCTTTTTAGCGTTTAACTGCCTGTCAATTTAACAGCTAAATTGTCGTGCTTTAAAGTAGTGGGGATTACAGGGAATCTCTTTACAGCTTCATAATGTGGTACTGGGTCTGGGTGTCTTAGGTCTTGATTGATGAGGAAAAAAATGGCAGCGGCAGAAAACTTTTAAATCCACCTTAGTCTGAAGGTCACCCCACCAGCCGAGCTTCTCATTTTATTCCAGTAACAGCTGATGGAGTGGGCTCTAATTCATCTCCGGGCCTGGTTATGCCAGTTGTGCATGAAAAATATAAAATCTTGCAGTTCTATATTTTATCTGTGCAAACCTGATTGGAGTTACTAATGTACTGTTACTTTTGTACATTTTGATCAATTACTTCCAAGTGTGGCAGAGTGATTTGCTCGCTTTATTACAGAAGGGGATGAGTCGGTGAATGAAGACGAGGACGAGGACGAGTATTTGAATCTGCTCTATGATCCTTGCCTCAACTGCTATTTTGATCCAAAGACCGGCAAATACTATGAACTAGCTTGACTCAAAGTCCATGAGAATCAAAATTAATAAATCACATTGACGGAGAATGAATGGCTTCAGGATTCTTTGAGGCTTTCAAGCTTTTTGATGAGTAATGAACTCCCCATTCATTAGAAACCCCTTTTTTGTGCGACTGCTTTTATTTTTGAGAACCAACGGGAGCTTTGTGTCACCATATGTAGTGTCATGTCAGTGTATAAGGGATGCTTTCTCAAAGTTCTCGTTCATTCAGTGTCACATCTGATGGCAAATTTTTAAAAAAAGCCTTTTCAGAGGTCTTGGCTTGCAAATTAATATGTAAGCTCTCTGAAAGAACATCCTGGAGCTTCTTTTTAATAAGATTTCTGACATTTAAATTTTGCATGGATTACTATCACAATATGGGTCATTTTTATGCTCTTTTAAAAATCCTAATTTATGTTGAAAAATAAAAAAAATGTTGATGTATTTGTTGTTTGAAATAAATTTAATTTAAAACGGCAGCGGTTCCAGTTTCTTGTGTTTGTCTGGAGTGTAAATGAATAGTTGGACGGAGCTGTCCAAACAACAGGGATGAAAGGAAATGATTGATTGCAACACATTTGAATGCTTTTTTTTTTCAATCCACTGTAGTGTTTGTCCTTTGTTTTTATTAATGATATTCACAGATGAGCATGTAACTATGATTTTTGTTTTTTTCCCTTTTCATGGTCTGTAACTGTAACTAGTAGTATTGACAGGTGGCCTGCTCATGAGGCTGGCAGGCCTTTTCATCGCTCGTGCCAAAACACACATCACACCTGATGAGCGGCTAATACGAGCCGGATTCATTATTCCCAGCCTGATGTAAGCTGCTGCTTAACAATGAACGGGAAAAATTAAACAAAAGATCCGTTCCCAGTGGTTTTAATTAAACCATATCTCAACTGGATCAGTAACCAGAGAAAGTGATGGCATGTTCACAATTGTATTATTTATTTTTTTCCCTTTATTTGCAGTATTCAACAAGCAATGGCCAAGTTGCAAATGTACTATTTCATAATGTATTGTTTTCAATTAATAGTCGGGACTTGCCAAAATAAGACCTTGAACAGAGAAATTAATTTAGAATGGTAATATACTCGTGCCTCACAACTCTGGCTCCGGAAATTATGCTACAGTCTTAAAAATACATTGAATATTACATAAGGAAGTGTCCTAAATTCTAGCAGTCTTGCATTTTAAGTATGATCTCAGTGTTTTATACAATAATGCATGAGTGAATGTGGACGTGATCATCCACTGAAATGGACCTCTTCTCCAAAGTAGGTGAACTATGTTGGCACCTGCAACAGCAAAAAACTGCAAGTGTCATTGAGAGGTCATGTGACACGCGACTAACTGTCACGTGGTCCTGCTAAAGAAGGGGGCGTGGAAACAGGTGATAGCGGCACCAAGAAGTAGGAAGTAAATAAGTATGGCGTTACCATCGCTGTGACAGTGAGACAGGAACTTTTTCTTTTTTTTTTTTAATTTTTCTTACAGGCTTCAATGTGCTGAGCTCCAGACTTTATCATGACAGTGGGTTAACCAGGCTCTGAAGGGATGTCAGCAGCACATGAGGTATGTTACAGCCATATGGTAACCAGTTGGACTCCTGCTGAAAGTCCAACTGGTTTTCACGCATATTCCTTCATCTCCAACACTGCAGCCGCTTATAGCTGCAGGTGAGAGGAGATGATGGAGATTAAATTCATGCGTGTGTTGGGTTAAACGTGTCCGGACCTGCTGGTGTGTAATGGAGAAGCCTGTAGAAGGAGTCTGGGGGAGTTAAAACAGGCTGAGATCATGTGTTGGGCAAGTAACGGAGCTGCGCGTTTAGAACACACAGTACCAGTAACCGTTTAGCTGCACTTTAAATAGGCGGTAATCAGAGTACAGGTGCAATATTCGAAGTAATAGATTACATAGATGTTATTGCTTGTTTAAATTCTACATTATTTACTCAGAAATTTAATGTAGATGTAATTTAATTAGACTCTTACACGTCAATTTGCTGAATTAGCGCGCTAGCTGCTTAGATAAATTGCTAATTAGCATATTAGCGAAGCTGCTAGCTTACTAATTAACAAACAAACCACGTAGTGGCGAAATGCTAATTCACAACTCGCATAATAAGTACTATATTTTGTCTATTTTCTTTAACCCAGTAACGTATATATTTATATACATTTATATACATACATATATATATATTTGCCTGAATTTCTTGTAATAGTGTTTGAGAGTTACACCCTTTAAGCACGCTAGTTAGCCTTTAGCATGCTAGTTAGCCTCTTCGCTATGCAGCACTGTAGATTTAGGTTCTTGTTCTTTTCAATTAAATGAAAACAATATTGCCAAAGCATTAAGGATAGTGTAACTTAAAAAACAAAATGAATTAAATTTAAAAAACACAATGCAGTTTATTAAGCGTAATAAAGAATGTTAGGATTTATCTTTAGGGTCAATTCAAAGACTACAACAGTTCATTTTTAGCAGGATGGCAGCTGGAGAACAGAGCAACGACACACAAGAGAACAAAGAACATTTTGAAGAATATTCTTTCACATTTTTCATGTCACAACTTGTTAGGAAGATGGGGGCAGAACACAGGGCCAGCCAGGCTGTGACGCCCCTGGAGGAGACGGGGTGAAGGGCCTTGCTCAAGGGCCCTGAAGTGGCAGCTTGGCAGTTTGGGGTCTTGAACCCCTGATCGGTATCCTAAAGCCTTAACTGCTGAGCCACCACTGCCCCTGGGTAGAAAATGTAAAAAAGGGAAATGAATAAGATGATAAATAAAAAACAAGAGAAGGGCAAAAAACTGTAAATAGGTTTGTGTGTGTGTGTGTGTGTGTGTGTGTGTGTGTGTGTGTGTGTGTGTGTGTGTGCACGCGCCATGCGTACAATACGCTATGTCAAAATAATTGTCATATTCAGTGAAGTTTTAATTACGCTGCCTCAGCCTCTGACATGCAGTCACAGTGCAGCTGGCTATGCTGGGAGCCCCCTTTCCTCACAGAATCTATTGTCTTTTATTGTCCTCTAGTTCTTTGAAGTTTGTGATTAAACCATCAGACTTCTTAACGTTTTCCTGTGTCGCATCGTGTCTGGAACCACACTCTTTGTTTTGTTGGTATCCATGCCGCCTTCTTGTGTCCTTTCACTGTGGCTGGACCGGGGTCACCGAGTCCACGTTTGATCGGGATCTGTCTCTGCTTTGCATCTCTGGCAGTAAAGAGATATTCTGCCAATTTATATTCATGGTTTAGGGCCAGATAGTAATGAAGTTTGTTCTGAGTTTAGGTTTCATTCCTCCAGTGTTCCAGATAAGCATCTTCTGTTAATGTAATAGTCTGGATGACTGATTAGCAGCTGGAGAGCGGTGTTGGTCCGGGATTGATCGGTGTTATCTGATCAGTAAGTGTCAGGCCCGGTTGACAGAAGGGACTTTTTGGGGGGTTCTGCTCCTGGGTTTTTTGTGCCTGAAATCTAAGTCTGTCTCGGGGGATTGATTTGAGATGTAACCAAAATGGAAGCGTTTTTTTTTTTTCTTCTCACTGTTAAAAATCAGTGAGTAATGGCCTCACGCTGCCCTGCATGCTTTTGTTGGGGTTTTTCTTGGGAGTTTAATATGGACATACAGAATTCATCGCCCATTTCATGCTGTGGGGCAAGCAAAGTGGAAACAAAATATTTTGTGGAACTATAAATTAGCATAGTTCTATTTTAATTGTGTTTCCTGGTTTTGTGTGGAAAATAAAAGGGCGAGTTTTACAAATATCACCGTCAGAATGACTCAGGTAGCAATGCTGTGTGAATGTCACAATCATTATTTAAAATATGTTACTCACTTTAAATAGCTGAATGTTGTTCTGTTAGTGAAATATAGTCTAGAAGTAGTGGTGGTCGGATGAATATTATGAATCCTCTATGAAGGAACAGCAACACTTTTACAGCACCTATAAAATGTGTTCGTCCCACTTAGAAGGTTTCCCCTTTTATTACTTTTCAATATTGAACATGGTCAGTTTAATTCAGCTTTTTTGAGAAGAAATTACAAAAAGGTCCTTTCAGATTTCAGTCAATTTAAAATAGAAAATGTAAAATAAGTATTTAGTAGGTGACCTTTGGCCAGAGTACAGCTTCTAGCCTGTGTGGATACATCTGTCAGCCTTGCACAACACCACGCTGCGGTTTTACTTCGTTCTTCATTGCAAAACTGTTCCAGCTCTGTCAAGTTGCACAGGGATTACGGTTGAACAGCCCTTTTCAAGTCCAGTCACAAATTCCCATTTGGATTGAGGTCTGGGTTTGGACTTGGCCACCCCCAGAAGATTTAACTTGTTGTCTTCAAACCATTTCTGTGTAGCTTCGGCTGTTTGCTTCGGGTCATTGTGTTGCTGGAAAACAAATCTTCTCCCAAGTTTCAGTTCTCTTGCAGACGGCATCAGGCTGTCCTCTGGTATTTCTGCATTCATTTTGCCTTTCCATTTCAAGGCCATTCATCATGATGCTGCCACCTCCGTGCTTTGTGGCAGCGATGGCGTGTTTGATAGCCATAAAACCAAAGAGCCTTCTTCCAGTTGACTTACCCAAATGCCTCCTGATGAACCTTAGTTATGTTGCTTTTGCCAACAGTGGCTTTCTCTTTGTCTCCCGTGTAGCTTTGACTGGTGAAGAAAAGGCCACAGTTGTTGTATTCGCTGCTGATGACTCCACTAGAGGAGTCATCGGTGTCTTGGTGGCCTCTCTCAAGTCTCTTTCTTGCAGTTTTTAAGGCTGCTGCTGCTCCAGGCAGATTTACACTTGGGCCATATTCCTGCCATTTGTTAATGATGGATTTAACGGGACTCCAAGGAATATTCAGTGACTTGGAAATTTTCTTGACTTATCCTCTGACTTATGCTTTTCAATAACCTTTACACAGAGTTGCTCGGAGTGTTCTTTTGCCTTCATGGTGTAGTTACAGCCAGGAGTACTGATTCAGCAGCAAGTAGACCCACTCAGATAATCTCTATTTCACTAATTGTGTGACTTCTAGCACCGACCAGCTGCACCTGTGTTGTGAATACAATCACTTATTTGACATTTTATAGTAATAACTATTTGACATTTGCCTTGTAATAATCTGCTTTCACTGCTACGTGAATGAGTCTCCATGCTAACGTATTTCTGTTCTGTTCAAAAAAAAAACAATCCAATGGGGGTGAGTACTTTTTACAAGCACCGTAACTTCAAAAGAAAAACTCTGAAAGCATTTTTGGAATGAATAAACGTGATGGTACAAGGCCCCATCATCTTTTTATTGAACCTTCCTCACTATTTTGTAGATCTACGTGGAATTATTCAGGTTGCCTTTCACTCTCATGGCCGTGATGCTGGAAACTACAATAGGTTGGGGGGAGGGGAGGGTAATACTTTTGCAGAATAGCACTTAATGTAATCACATTACATTTGTCTGCAGCAGCACAGTCAGTGTAAGGTGTTACTGCTCCTACTCATCAGTTAACGGCACTACTTCTACTTCACGGCGGCCTTCTGCTTTCTGTAGGTGTCGCTTTGATTCTGTCAGACATGCAGTTGAACCTTGTTCTTCCCACAACATTTTTCTGTGAAGTGCTCTTTGTTCTGGCATTCGCTAACGTCGCTGTTGGCTTTGTGGTAATGCCGTTATTAAAGAGCAGAAAGGAAAGATCTTGTTTCTGTCCTCCTGGTGAGGGTAGAGATTTATTCTGATAGGTGAGCATATGTAAGGTTTGACGTGATGTGACACGGCGTCTCTGACA